TTTGCTGTGCAGAAGCTTTTTATCTTGATAAAGTCCCAATAGTTCATTTTTGCTTTCGTTTCCCTTGCCTCTGGAGACGTGTCTAGCAAGAAGTTGCCGTGGCCAAGGTCAAAAAGGTTGCTGCCTGTGTTCTCCTCTAGGATTTTGATGCTGTCCTGTCTTACATTTAGGTCTTTCATCCATTTTGGGTTTATCTTTGTGTATGGTGTAAGAAAATGGTCAGTTTCATTCTTCTGCATGTGGCTGTCCAATTTTCCCAAAACCATTTGTTGAGGAGACTGTCTTTTTTCCATTGGATATCCTTTCCTGCTTTGTCAAAGATTAGCTGACCATAGAGTTGTGGGTCCATTTCTGGGGTTTTTATTCTGTTCCACTGATCTATGTGTCTGTTTTTGTGCCAGTACCATACTATCTTGATGTAATTTAGCTTGAAGTCTGGAACTGTGATGCCGCCAGCTTTGGTTTTCTTTTTCAACATTGCTTTGGCTATTTGGGGTCTTTTCTGGTTCCATACAAATTTTGGAATTGTTTGTTCCAGCTCTGTGAAAAATGCTGGTGGTGTTTTGATAGGGATTGCATTGAGTGTGTAGATTGCTTTGGGTAGCATAGACATTTTAACAATATTTGTTCTTCCAATCTGTGAGCATGTAATGTTTTTCCATTTCTTTGTGTCTTCCTCAATTTTTTTCATAAGTGTTCTATAGTTTTCAGAGTACAGATCTTTTGTCTCTTTGGTTAGGTTTATTCCTAGGTATCTTATGGTTTTTGGTGCAATTGTAAATAGGACTGATTTCCTTGATTTCTCTTTCTGCTGCTTCATTGTTAGTGTATATAAATGCAACAGACTCCTGTGCATTGATTTTATATCTTGTGACTTTGCTGAATTCCTGTATCAGTTCTAGCAATTGTTTGGTGGAGTCTTTTGGGTTTACTACATAGAGTATCATGTCATTTGCGAAGAGTGAAAGTTTGATTTGTTCTTTTCTGATTTGGATGCCTTTTAATTCTTTTTGTTGTTTGATTGCCGAGGCTAGGACTTCTAGTACTCTGTTGAACAACAGTGGTGGGAATGGACATTCCTGTTGTGTTCCTGACCTTAGGGGAAAATCTGTTTTTCCCCATTGAGGATAATATTCGCTGTGGGTCTTTCATAGATGGCTTTTATGATGTTGAGGTATGTTTCCTCTATCCCTACATTGTGGATGGTTTTTATCAAGAAAAGATACTGTATTTTGTCAAATACCTTTTCTGCATTTATGGAGAGGATCATATGGTTCTTATCCTTTTTTTTATTAATGTGGTGTATCATGTTCATTCATTTGTGGTTGTTGAACCACCCCTGCAGCCCAGGAATAAATCCCACTTGGTTATAGTGAATAATCCTTTTAATGTACTGTTGGATCCTATTAGCTACATACTCCCATTTTAGATAAAGGGTCATTGTTCACCATCTCCAAAGGACTCTGAAAAATGTTTTGAGCTATGTAAAGAAAGGCTCCATATAAATGTATTGTTGAAGCATGGACAACTAGAGTCTTCCAGAGGGCTACTAAAAGTCATAATTCTAGGCATAGTTAAAAACACTAGGCTATATTCTAAAGCAAATATTAAAAAAAAAAAATTTAAATGGGCTCCACACCCAGCTTGAACTGTGGGGCTTGAACTCACAACCCTGAGATCAAGACCTGAGCTAAAATAAAAAGTCAGATGCTTAACTTACTGAGCCACCCAGGATCCCCAAAGGCAAATATTCTTTAAAGGGACTGTCTTTCTCTTCTGGTTTCCACAGAAAATGCTAGACAATATGTTATGTGATCTGCTTCTTTACCTTCTCTCTGGCTTATGTTACCCTAAGTTGACCTTTTAAATTCTTTATTTCCTGGCAAATACATTTAAAACTTTAGATCCTGAGTAAATAGAATATGACAGAATTCATGCAGAAAATCAAAGCTGAGTCTAGAGCATTCTTTTTTGAAGAAAAATACTGCACTGCACATGGTGAACTCACCTGATGCTTCCTATACTCTGATGGGGGTCAGTAAGTGCAGTGTAGAACTTGAACTGATGTGGGAGGGGTGTCACCCACGTTTGATTTATTGTGAAATGGACGAGGATCAGGTTTGTGTGAGAGACAGGTTATACATGTTGGGGTTGGCCTGTGTTAGGAAGGGCATAGTTTTGATTTAACTTTTATTCTCATGACCTTAGGGTAAATCTGAAGTAGTGTGATGCAGTTTAGAAGGCTCTAAATTCAAAGTCAAGAGGCTAGGGTTCAAGTCTCATTTTCTCTCTAACTGGTTGTAAGATGGTGAGCAAGATACCCAATCTCTCCATGTCTCCCTCATTCTGGTTCTCTCTCTTTTTAATCTGTAGAAAGAGACTAATAATGCCTATTCTACCTTGCTCTGGATCTGAGTCTCAAAACATTGTTCATAAAAGGTCTTAGAAAGGTTAGAGTGACTTTTGAATTGAGCATCTATGATTCCATTATATAACCACATAACATTGCAATTTCCTCATTTTAAAGCTAAGAAGATAGCTTTTTAGTGGAAAATCCAATGTTTTTTCCACCATGCCAGGGAATATCATCAATATTATTAATTTGTAATTAAGATGGCATTAAAAATAGAAGTAACCCAATCTCTTTTTTGTTCAGATTCACTTCAATGTGAAAAGCATACAAAACAAAAATCTAGGCAAATCTATAGAAAGAAGCTTACTTTGACCCAAGATGACTGCAACCCTTGAGGTCAAGCTGGTGAACTGCTAACAATGAGTGACTGATATCTAGCAGATGACATGGATGCTCAGTGTGGAAGACAATGGGTGTCATTCTCTGGATTATAATCATATATAGTAGTAGATGTCCTGAAAATTTGGCATGATGGTCTTTTTGATGATGGGAACTAACTGATTGGCATTCTCCTGAATTAAACTAAAGATATCAACTCCCTTAATGTGATGAGGTTTTAGAACAAGGCCAGATAGTAAATATTTTAGGTTTTGTGGGCCATGTGATTTCTGTAGAAACAACTCAACTCTGCCTTTGTAATGCAACAACAGACAAGACAAATGTAAACAAAGGGGTATAGCTGTGTTTCAACTTTATTTACAAATAAAGTTGGGCTAGATTTGGTTCAAAGGCCATAGTTTGCTGACTCTCTGCTTTAGAATATCATAAAGATATCATCAAATTCTGGGCATCCTCACATCCCTTGGCCATACATACTGTATTGCTGGCCTCAGTTTTTAGCATAGTTCTAATTCCTACAGCTAAGCAAACATAGGAGGTGCCAGACCCTGGAGAAACCATCAAGTCAGGTGGCCATTTGGGCAGACACTTCATATCCCTACATGGCTATTCAAAACCTCACACCTTTCTCAAAGTGATCTTTGTAAAATAAAGCATTGTTTAAAATATAATACTTAAGTTTTAAAAATAAGCCAGAGTATTTATTCTCCAGAGTAAAACTACTGATGTTTTGATGGGAAGGAAGGAAAAGTGCTTTCCAGCTCCTAGAAATGACTTGCTAAAGGGCAACCCAGTGGGGACTTCCTATTTATAAGTGATCAAACTTGCCTTTTGTTTTCCCATAATAGAAGTCAACTTATTTCCAAAGTTCATTGCTGTTCTAAGTCAAAGATCACCTACCCGTTCAACTTATCCTCTTTATGACTCTTTCTCTCATTCCAGCGTATCTGGAAATGGAGGGAAGCACTGTCAGAAGCCTACAGAAGGGCAATTTTAAACTCTGGATCTCCATTTTTTCATACTTGGTTAAATAGCTCATTCTCAACCTGGAAACTACTAATGCTTTACTGTGCAAAACAGGCTAGAATGCAACAGAAAGTGAAACAAGTCTTTTACTCCTAGTACTACCTCTGAAAATATGGATTTTGAGACACTTGGGTGGGTTCAAAGTGGAATCTCCTCTCACCTTCGGGAATTCCTGAACCACTTCAGGGCTCAGGAATGCTTTTGTCCTTGGCCAAGTTAGATAACCTCTTTGAGGTCCTGAGCCTCAGTTTCTCCATCTAAAATATGGTTTAATATCTGCTTCATAGAATTGATCTATAGTGAGTGACAAATAGTAGATATTTAATAAGTGATAGTTTCCTCAGTTTTTCCATATCCCCCTGCATGCCCCAAATTGTATTTGCTTGCTCTATTCTGAGTCTGTTTGTTTGTTTATTGTAATTTCACGTATATTCCCATGAACTGCCCTGAGTGTAAGTAAGTGTATTCATACATAGAAGGCATGTAAGGAAAAAAGTCCCTGAATAAGGCAAGACTGATGGTAGGAAAATGATTGGACAGAAAGAAATCACAATTTCCAGAGTAGTTCAGGGTCAGAAAATTCATTTGGTTTATTTTCTTTTGGACAAAGGAGCTTTCAGGTATGGTTTAAACAAGTAGAACATAAGCTTCTTGAGAGCAGAGAACTTGTCAGTTACATCCACTAGTGATTAGAACTGCTCTTGGCACTAGGTGAGTATGCAATTAATACCCGTTTTCTCAACTAATAACTGAGCATACTTAGATATGATTCACTTTTGTGTTAACTACAGGAAGTTCCTGGAGTTTTGCATAGGAAAGGAAAGGGATTCTAGGGAGAAGTCTTAACATTGGACAAAGATGGCACCACTTATACACTATTTATCTTCAAGTACACAATATATGAAATGACTATGCAAATTCCCTGATATGAAAATTGATCTGGAATAGGTCAGGGGAAAGTCGAATACCTATTCTATACCAGTTTCTGGCAGATACTGTATTTTCCAACAAAACTCCCTTTAGTTTCATTTTCTTCTTGGAAAGAAATCCCACTGTTGCTCAGAACTTAGAGTATCAGCATGGTACTAGGTACGATGGGGTAGAGTAGTAGATGCAATGTGTTAAGAGGACCAGGAGATCTCTACATTTCCTGAGGCTGCTTTCCACGTGCTGTAAGAGTGTGAGACAACAGGAGTACTAGCATATAACATAGTTCACATACCTGAAAACATCATCATGTGCTGAAAATTCCAGGGGATCTTCTGTTTCCGGCCCAGATTCAGGAGGAAGGAGAGGGGATATATGTTGCAGGCTCTCGCAACAAAAATTGCGAGCTACAGATAAGCACAGGGAAACATTGAGGAAAACATTGCTGCAATGAGGCTGCGAATCCTTGAACTTTAACTATTACGTTCTTTTTTAAAAAATTTATTTATTTGAGACAGAGAGAGAGCACAAGCAGGGGAAGGGGCAGAGGGAGAAGCAGGCTCCCCGCTGAGCAGGGAGCCCGATGTGGGACTCGATCCCAGGACCCTGCGATCATGACCTGAGCCGAAGGCAGCCGCTTAACCGACTGAGCCACCCAGGTGCCCCTAACTATTACGTTCTTAAGCTTCTCTATTTTATGGCCCAGAAAACAGGGATAAATATGTCAATACCTGTATGTCCAACCTGCTTCCAAAATTCATCTTTAAATGTCAATTCTTTTCCAGAAATAGCAGAGAACTCTGCTTTTCTTTGAATATCTACCTGGTTTAGAATTGTTAACCCTGTACCATTTCAATCACTGTAAATTTTCTCATCACATTTATGTTGCTGATGACTGACTCTTTGCTCAACTCTGCTGCAAAATGTGAGGCAGAGACTGTTCAGAGGCTGGGGCATTATCTTCTCAAGCAGCACTTTAGAAAGGATAAATGTACTTCTGCTCATGATTGCCATCTTACCTTCCATCAGTTTATACTCCCTGTATCTGGCAAGCTTCACTTACTTTTTTTCTCTTAGTGGATTTAATTTTGACAGGAATTGCCTGTCTAAATGTATAATACAACTCCTTTAGGAACCATTTTGTTAAAGTTCAGGCTTTACAGGTTAAAATCTACAAAAATACTGGTGGTAGTCATCTCTTCCCTTTCATCACCCAGGACTCCTTCCCTGAGAGTCTGTAGATTCTAGTTTGTCCTCAAATGGGATGGAGTTATGTGGGAAGAGGGAGCTTCCATCTAAGAGGTAGGTTTTGGATGAGATTGGAGTGTTCAGTTGAATGTTTAGTGAAAAGAGGACAGAAGGCAAATGCAGATGCTTATTGGAACAGGACTTACAGAAGAGGGGTCAACTCTCCTTGCTGTCAGGATCACATGCCTGTGATCTGATGGGGCATCTGCCCATTTTCCAGAGGACAACAGTTGCTGACTGTACTTGGGGACATCCATAGCAGCTCAGTATCCTATCAAAGAGACATCCATTCCTACTGGGGAATGCTTACACCGCAGGTCTAGAGCTACAAAAGTCCTCTGCATTAAAAGGGAGGTCTAGGGGCGCCTGGGTGGCTCAGTTGGTTAAGCGTCTGCCTTCGGCCCAGGTCATGATTCCAGGGTCCTGGGATCGAGTCCCGCATCAGGCTCCCTGTTGAGCGGGGAGCCTGCTTCTCCCTCTCCCTCTACCTGCTGCTCCCCCTGCTTGTACTCTCTCTCTCTAATAAAAAATAAAAAATCTTAAAAAAAAATAAATAAAAGGGAGGTCTATATTTTATCTGTTATTTTACTTATAGGAAAGGGTAATCTTATTAAAATAAACTCACATGTACACTTACATAAGACATTGGAATCACATCTATAATGCTAATTTCATCTGATCTTTACTCTGTGTATCCTATTTTCAAAGTCTTCACTGGAAAAGAGATTTTACCATCTTGTGACGAAAATATTTCTAAAGCTTAATAATCCTGACTATATTCAGATACACTCTAATGCAGATTAAGTATATTTCTCTGTAAAGAATGGATTGATATATTTTTATGTAAATGATTCATAATTTAAGAACATACTTTGACTATTCAGGAAATAAATATATTTTGAATATTCATTTTTTTGAGTATTCTATTCTCCTTCAGTTTTCCCCCTTTATTTCTCTCAGTATTTTCCAAATTTCTTATCTTGGAAACAGAAGCATTTAATAAAGATCCCAATTTCTTAGGATCTTTTCCCTCGTACTAGAAATTACATATCTGCCATGAATTTGAGCCTTGCAATAAACTTGAGGAAATTACTTTAACAATTTAACAGAATAATCAGTAAAAGTAAGTAGTTTGCTCTTTTCCCTCATCACTCCATGTTCTGTATTTCAAAGGATACAAAGGCTCCGAGTATAAAAAGAGCATTGAAGATATGATTCTGGAACGTGAATAGCGCCAGGCCCATGTAACAGAAGATGACATTCTCGGCCAAGAAGTTCATAAATTCAAACAACTGAAAACAAAACAGAAACCAAAAACCATTAATTATGACTCAGGTTTGAATCCATTTAATATCTTGTAACTGTTTTGGTAAGTGGATGGTCCTCTTGTATCTGGGAAGGCCACCCACTGGCCTTGTGTTCCACTTCTGGAGGGTTACAGGGCCCCTGACTACCCTGTCGGGCCCTCTGACTCTACCCTGGCTCTCCACCCAGGGACAGATGTGGCAGCCATGTCAACATCCTATCTTCCTTTTCAACTGCAAGGCTGCTAGAGATACACCTGGGTCTATCAGCCAGCATGATCCTCCATGGAACAATTCCTACAAGGATGGTAGAATATTCCTTGTTATAGAAATTTACGTGATTGCTTAAGGTATACCATAGGAAAGCATGCAAAGACTGTTTAGCTTCTTCTGACATTACTCAGTAGCTGCCCTTGAGTTCCTAGGCCCTGAAAACTTTTCAAAAAAAGTTTTAGCTAAATTACCTTCCTCAGGCAGGAAGGAGGGACAAACTTGGAAAGCTTGGAAGCTTGTAATAAGAATGAATGTCAATTATATTTCAACATTAGAATGATCAGTATATTTCAAACCCCAGACAATGAGACTCATTAAATTGACTGATGTAGGTATATCCATTAAATGTCTACAATTTCTAGCTGGTAAAAAGAAAATGATTAATCCCAGGGATCAGTTTATGCAATGAGAACACAATAGATACATCAAATTCAGTCAGAGGAATGGAGTAATAACATGCTATGCAGAGGGATGCTCCCAAGAGTTATTCTTAGGTCATTAACTAAACAATTTAAGTTGAGCATGAAAAACGTTAACTTCCAGATCAGAAGTAAAAGGGAAATGTGTCCAGGGGCTACAAAAAACACACATTTGGAAGAGACTTTAGTTTATGTTCCAGAATTTTCATTTGGAAGTTTCTGAAACTTCATTCTCAGCCCTACATAAATCACCATGTTAGGTAAACGTCTCTGGAGGCATTTCTCTTGACTTTTTAAGGACTCATTATTTTTTCATGTAATGTATTTACAGCCCCACAAATAATGCCCAATACCTGCTTACCGACAGTTGACAGAAAGAAAAGCAAAGTCTTGTCAGAAACATTATTTAAAGCCAGTAATAGAAATAAAGGATTAAAAAAGACATAGCTCCTGTGGTCTTTCTGCAGTGGCAGTGATCATTAATTATCCTGAGGACTTGTTTCACATTCCAGACCAGCTCATCTTAACAAATACTGTCACCCAAATAACCACAAAAACTTGAAAATATGCGAGAAAATAGAGGGGATGGGGAACATTTTGCTCCCTCCTCATATCTTTACTTTTTCAAAAAGTGAGATTTGGCTACTGTCTTAATTTGCTCAGCCTACCATAACAAAATACTATAGACTGGCTGGTTAAAACAACAGAGATTTATTTCTCATAGTTCTGGAAGGGGAGAAGTCCAAGATCAAAGGGTCATGTCAATCAGTTAGGTTCTGGTGAGAATCCTCTTCCTGATTTGCAAACAGCAGTCTGCTTGCTGTGTCCTCACATGGCAGAGATCTCTCTCTCATGTCTCCTCTAATAAGGGCACTAATCCCATCATGAAGGCTCCACCTTCATTACCTAATCAGCTCCCCAAAGCCCCACCTCTATATACCACCACATTGGAGGTTAGGACTTCAACCATAGGAATTTGGTCGGGGGAGGGACACAAACATTCAGCTATGGCACAGCTATCCAGTTTTTAACATTAACAAATGCATGCAAGATTAAATTCATAGAGTCTCTTCTCCTGTCTCCCATCCCAAGTACTGTAGAAGGGACATTTTGCCATCTAAGATCCACCTCTTCTTGGTGGTCATACTCCAATTTCCCTCTGGGGTCCACTTTCTTCCCCACTCTCAGCTCACATGTTGAAGCCTCCATTAGCTCAGATCTGGAATATATGATTTCGGACTAAACCACTCAAATCAATGCATTTCTCTAGCCAGAATGTTTGGCTCAGAAATGGGTGTGGTGCATTCAGAGCCAAAGAAATACAATGAGACCTGGCAAGAAATGCTGGGACAAAGACCCCCATCTTTTCACAGTGTGAGAAAGTAGGATGCACACTAGGGAGCTGCTGCTAGCCATCTTGTGATCACAAGGGAAACAGTGGTCTGAACGAGAAGCCATGTCCTGACAACGCTGCTCAACCTGTATTCAGCCTCTCCCAAAGCAAAATCTACCCTTGGACTATTGAATTAAAAAGACCAAGAAATCACTTTTTTTTGTTGGAGGTGAGGTTTCTATCACTTAGGATGATATATATTCCTTCACAGTCCTGTACCAGTTTAACAAAACAAAACAAAACAAAACACTTGACTCAATATGGGTTATAAAAAAAAGGGTGGGTGATCGGGCGCCTGGGTGGCTCAGTTGGTTAAGCAACTGCCTTCGGCTCAGGTCATGATCCTGGAGTCCCGGGATCGAGTCCCGCATCGGGCTCCCT